TCCTCAACAAAATCGGACACATAGCTTTACTCCACGAATCACTTGGGTAATAGAAGATTTCAACTGAAGTCATGAAACTTAAGTCATGAGATTTAAAAAAAAAAAAAAAAGGATCCCAGAAGATTGCACTATTTTTAACACTCCCGAGTTTCCCAGGTCAGGAGAGAGTGACCTGGCCTCAGCAGGAACCACGGGTCACAGCATTTCCCTCCCCGTGTGATGAGAAGGGCTTGTCCTCGTGGGACCGGCACACGTAGAAATGATGACACCCTCTCTGTGCAGCTGTTCGGCAATAGGACCAGCACATTTTAAAGACACACACACTCAAGACCCACACTTGGTATTGGGTCAACAGACTTTTGCACCAGAAGCAAATAGGAACGGTCTTCTCCACAAATGCTGATAGAATAACCGGATATTCACATGGAGTAAGGAGACCTCGACTCCTGTTCTCACACCACACACACAGATTAACTCAAGATGGACCGCAGACTTCAACACAGACGCTAAAATTATGAAGCTTCTAGAAGTATGAAATAGCATCTTTACAAAAGGACAAAGGAAAAAAACTGCCAACATAGACTTCATTAAAGTTAAACACTTCTGCCCAGTAGAAGATACTGTTAAGAAAAGAAATAAGTTGCTAGGAGAGTGGATCATGAATATTCTCGTCACAAAAAAGAAATGGTGATATGTGGTGTGATGGTGGTGTGGGCTAGGGCTATGGTAGGGATCCTTATGGGTATTACCAAGTCATCATGTTGTCCACCTTAAACTTACACAATGTTATATGTCAGGTGTATCTTAGTAAGCCAGGGGGAAAAAAAAGAGAGAGAGAGAGAAAAGAAACAAGCCAGCCATAGACTGGGACTAAAAATTTTCAAAACAACTATGTCAAAGGACCGATGTCCAGAATATATAATGAACACCTACAACTTAATAACAGAGACACAAACAACCCAGTAAAATATAGACAGGCGAGTACATACAAATGGCCAATAAGAACATCACCATTAGTCATCAGGGAATTGCAAAGGAAAGCTACAATGAGATGTACTATATACCCACTGGGACGGCCAGATCACACCAAACGTTGCCAACGACGAGAGCTACAGGAACTCTCATACATTGCTGATGAGAGGATAAAATGATATGACCATTTTGGAAAAAGATCTGGAAGTTTCTTATAAAACTAAACATGTATCGCCTGGCCAGTGTAGCTCAGTGGTTGAGGGCCGACCTATGAACTGGGAGCTCACGGTTTGATTCCCAATCAGGGCACATGCCCAGGTTGCAGGCTCGATCCCCAGTGTGGGGCCTGCAGGAGGCAGCTGATGAATGAGTCTCTCTCATCATTGAGGTTTCTATCCCAGTGGTCGGCAAACTGCAGCTCGCAAGCCACATGCGGCTCTTTGGCCCCTTGAGTGTGGCCACGAAGTTTCAATCGCACTGTATGTGCGTGCCTGCACGTGGTATTTTGTGGAAGAGCCACACTCAAGGGGCCGCAGTTTGCCGACCACTGTTCTATCCCTTTCCCTCTCTGAAATCAATAAAAATATATTTTAAAAAAATAATCAGATTGGTGGTTGCCTCTGGGGTGGGTGTGAGGAAGGGGTTGGCTGGGAAGAAGCATTCGGGAATATTCTGGGCGATGGTAATGTTCCGCATCCTGACACGTGAAAATGAATAAAGGAAGCCTCATTCAAAATGGAGTCAGAGCCCTAGTCAGTGTGGCTCAGTTGGCTGGCGCGTCATCCCATACACTGAAAGGTCACCGGTTTGATTCCCGGTTAGGGCACATGCCTAGATTGCACGTTCGATCAGCAACCAAGTGATGTTTTTCTCCCTCCCCCACCTTTCTCTCTCTCTAAAATCAATATCTCCAAGTGAAGATTTAATAAAAGAAAATAGAGCTGGAAAGCCATGGAGGACTCTCCCGCACTACCCCTCGTCGCAGCTTGTATACTTCAGCAGAAGGAAAATGTCCTCTCCGCCAGAAACAGCAACTGCTCTTGCCTGCAACCAATGAGAACACATCACCACCTCCATCTCTCATTTTCCTCCTTTGTTCAAAACAACCCCTCCCAAAATTCCCCCTTTCCTTCTCTTGTGGTCTCCAATCTGGCCTATGTTTCCCATAATTTGCTTGTCCAGAATTGAAATTCCTCTGCTACTGTTGAATAAACCCATTTGCTGCTTGATAGCCTTTGTTTAAGGCTCATGCTACACTTAAGATTTGAGCATTTCACTATAAATTTTATCCCCACTGACATCCAAATATAAACAAATATTAAATTCTGACTAATGACGAGCACACTGGAATATTTGGGAGAGGGAGTGTACTGATGTTTACAATTTAGAAATGATGAATTCATGGATGGATGGAATATGGACAAATCTATACATATAAAAGGCTAATATGCTAAGAGTCCATCCAACTGGTAGCTCTGACTCACACTGACCACCAGGGGGCAGACACTCAATGCAGGAGCTGCCAAGCTGCAGTGACTGGGCAACTGCGGTTCTTGGGTAATGCATCCCGAAAGCAGAGAGGAGGGAGCCCGATTCCTCTTGGGGTCACGTGATTCTACCTTCGGCCATGGGTTATGTTGTTGCTGGGGCACTGTCGGCCCTGACTCTGGTTTAGTGCACACTTGCGTTTGTGTTCCACACCCTGTAAGAGAGTAACTGCAGAGTGCCCTTTCACACTCCGGAACCCCTCAGGGGATGTCGGACTGCCGGTTTCAGCCCGATCCAAGGCCAGGCCGAGGGACTCCACCTGCTGGAGGGACCCTATTCACTCCACAGACGCCCTTCGAGCCACAGTGCCACCCCAGTTGCGGCTGGCTGGGGAGGGACCAGAGGGACCGAGGGAGGTTGGCTCCAGGGTGTGTCTGGCCCGTCTCGCCCAGTCCCACCCTGCCGCCACCTTCTAATTAATTTCCTTTCAATGTGCACGAATCCATGCACTGGGTCACTAGTGGTTATATAATAAAACACAACAGCAAAATGGAAACTGTACAATCTAGGTGGTCAGTAAATGCATGTTCACTGAATAAATTCTTTCAACTTCTCTGTATGTTTGAAAATTTTCATAATAAAATGTTGGGGGTGTGGGGATAGACAAATACAAAACTATAAAAATAGAGCCTCAATGCTCAGTCTCCACCACAACTCCGAAATCAAAGAACTACAAGACTCAGGGCAGGGAGACACTGAGGGCCCCCCTGCCAGGCCTGCCCCCATTTGGCCAGTCTTCCAGAAACCTGGGAGCCACAGTCCCATCACAACAGTATGCCCCTGGGCTTCACTATCAAAAAGCCAAAGCTCGAAAGAGACATCGAGAAAGCCTAGAACAGTGGTTCTCAACCTGTAGGTTGCGACCCCTTTGGGGGTCGAACGACCCTTTCACAGGGGTCGCCTAAGACCGTCGGAAAACACATATATAATTACGTATTGTTTACAGTAGCAAAATTACAGTTATGCAGTAGCTACGAAAATAATTTTATGGTTGGGGGTCACCACAACATGAGGAACTGTATTAAAGGGTCGTGGCATTAGGAAGGTTGAGAACCACTGGTCTAGAAGGTCTGTATAGAGGGGGGAAGGAGCCAACCCAGTTCACCTGTTTAAGTCATTTGCTACCGATGGGAAAATACAGGCCAGGGCATGTATGAGCTTCACTGGGTATTTAATTTTAAGCCAAATTAGGCCGACCATGCCTATGTGGGTTCTAGTTGCAGAAGCACATCTAGTTCCAGATCAAAAGTGTAATCTTCAAATAACAGTACAATTTATTGTGCACTGTGCATGTTGGGCATTTTACACAATCTGAGTTCTCGCAGCCACCCTGTAAAGCAGGTTTATTATCCTAATTTTATGATTGAGGAAACTGAGGCTCAGAGAGGGTAAATGATGTGTACAAAACCACAGAGCTGGAGCTGAAAAATGAAATAGAAGTCCTTTCCCGAAAGCACTCCTCACCAAGCCCCTCCCTGACAGGGTACAACCTGCCTGTGTGCAAAGCTTTTGGAGCAGGAAGCTTTGGGCTTCAGGGGACAATGAAGAATTTCATTACCTTAGGGCAGTGGTCAGCAAACCGCGGCTCGGCAAACCGCGACTCACAAGCCACATGCGGCTCTTTGGCCCCTTGAGTGTGGCTCTTCCACAAAATACCGACTTCTGCATATGGGCCACGAAGTTTCAATAGCACTGTACATGCGCGCCCACACGTGGTATTTTGTGGAAGAGCCACACTCAAGGGGCCAAGAGCCGCATGTGGCTCTCGAGCTGCGGTTTGCGACCACAGCCTTAGGGCAAGAGACCAATCTCTCTTTCGCTGAAGACCTCAATCTCCATGTCCTGGCAAGGCGCCCTCATTAGGCCATTTGTACTTTTCACATGTATATCAATCACCATCTTAGGTGGTTTTCCCTCTTATTCACTAGTTAAAACGCAGTGTCCAGTATGAGCTGTTTTCCCTGTAAGTTTTAATGACAGCAGAGCCCAGCTGCGCTCTTTAAGCCCCTGCCTTGGTACCTTCCTTTACTGTTTTCCACTCTCCCATCTCACTTCCCCACTTAGCTGGGAGCAGTGACAGCTCGGAAGGGGGGCCAGTTTGGGTTTGTGACTTTGTGGCTATCAGACTCCTGCGGAAGGGAGAGGATGTAGAACGGGAAATGTTAAGAGGCTCTTAATTGGGAAGTGTCTTACAAATCTGAATTTGCAGAACACCAGTTTGCAGTTCCGGTCAGTTGTGAGGGCTCAGATTCCTCCCACTGTGGAAAAGACGCAGGCCTCCCACGCCGCCTTTACCAGAGGGCGCAGCTTCAGCACAGGGACTGACTCACAGGCTGGTAGAGGGTTAGAGAGAAAAAAGAAGCTCCGGTGACTTACCACAGCTTTTCAGGGCTGATCTTTAGAGAGAAATGATACCTATGTAGAAACTGAATATGTCATTCACTTATTTAAAAAGAAAAAAAGAAAGGAAAAAACCAGAATCCTATGAAAATGTCTTTAATTTTCACCTTTTGGAAATACATTTTTCATTTTTATTTTTGTGATACAAAAATGTTATATATCTAACAATGACCTCTATGAAGCAGCTCTACTGAAGTAGATCCACAAAATTCTGTCTCCGTTGTGATCTGCTTCGACAGAGGAAGGGCGGGTACACGTAGCTTTGCCATGATTTCACACACGCACACACAGGAATACACACATGCCACCTTCCTCCCAGATAGCCACCCACACACAGAGGAGACAACCACACTGACAAGTGAACAGAGCACTACATGTAAAAACAGAAATTAACTTTTTTACTTGTCCCAGCGCAAGAAACTCACATCTTAGCAAAAATAACTCTAAATAAATATGCCAAGGCCAAGGCATATGGTAAGCTCCTTTATCGGTAGAGATTTTTCTACTGGAAAAATAAGCTTGAAAGCTTCATATTTTCAGGCAGCTAAGGTGGGAAGCAGACAGACATATCCTATTTCCCCACTAGGAGACGGTAACCATGTGCTAGGACTGCAGCAGAGTCCGAGCGTGAGGAGACAAGGAAACCCCTTGAAGCAGGAAGGAGTTCAACCCCAAACTCATCATCACAGCCCCCAAGAATGTCAGCTCTTTCTGCATATTTCACAGCCGACACCCCCCATCAGGTGGATTCTTACACACGCTAATTCATCACAGGAAAGGTTTCACATGAGCAACAAATAACTGGTTAATAATGTACACCTTAACAGCCTACAACCATGCTGAGTGTCAGCAGTTTACAATCGAAAGGAAGGAAAAAAACACAGCCACAAAAACAAAAGCTGAGCTTTTTCCAGGAGAAGCCGTTTTCAAAGCCCTCCCACACCACACTTATTGAATAGGGTATGGCTTCCAATGTGCCGCTGGTTCCTTCCCAGCGACAGCACCGCGACTTGTCTTGGTCAGGCCTCGGCTACCACGTGTCAGGAACTTCAAAGAGCTTGGCAGAGCTGTCCGAGATGCCTCCTGGTGGGAAAGGACAAAACAAGATGAGCAAGGAGAGGAGAGGGCAGGCCCTGGAGAACAGAGCCACCATCACAGAGCAGGGCAGCTGCACAGCCACGTGGGAAAAGTCCAGGCAGGTCTTGTCTATGGAGAGCAGTGTCCAGCCAATGGCGGGACCCCACAGACACATCCCATATAGGACCATGAGGTGCCTCCCTCCCCACTCAGCTGCCTCGCCTCTGTCATTTTACAGGAGTTAACACGTAGACACTTACAACATCTCCCAGTGGCACATACACCATATTCTTTGCTAGCCACCATGCTGAGCACTTAGTTCATTTACTCTTCAGAAAAGCCCTACACGATGGTACAAATATGCCCATTTCACAGATGCAAGAAGAGGCTCAGCGAGGCTGAGTGGCTGAGATGGAGTCTGCATCCTTCTACAGCACCAAGAGCCCCGCCGAGTCCCAGAAGGCTGGCTTTCTGTGATCTGTGGGCAACGGGCACCGAGATCAGCGTGGAGGGAAGCTGACCAGTGTGGGTTCTGAGATCCTAAAAAGGGCAAAGAAGCTTGTAGCTTTTTCCGACCTCAGCGACACCGGCTAAGGTCTTCTTGGACTGAAGGAACCTTTTCCATTACAAACAGCTTCAACTCAAAGTGAGAAGCCCTTCTTTTCCATCCATGCCACTTTCTGTAACAGCAACTGCACAGATGTGTCAGGGCCTGGAGCGCCGATGCCCGGAGCTGAGCGAGCGGGAACTAAGTCAGGAAAAGGCGTGCTCACAATGGAAAGTGTAGCGGGCCAGGCCCTCCCTGCACCGCTGGTGTCATACCTTATTTAAGCCATAACTGCAGGGTTGGCAGGGAAAATGGGCAGAGCCAACCCCAGCTGCTAACATTCCAAGATTTCAAAAGAGAAGAGGTCTTTGATGATGCCTGAAATGGAGAGTAACTCTTAAGAAGAGATGAGGTTCGGTGTCCCACAAAGTAGAAAATCGCTCAGCTGAGCCTGGCTACTGTTAATGACAGGAATGCCTAAAGGGAACAAGATCTGAACATCTGAAATAACATGGGCATTTCAGCTAAAATGAGAAATCCCACTTCCGATCACTTATTGAGAGAAAATCCAGAGAGACAGGGAGAGCAGACCAGGAGAAGGGGACTCTAATGTTTGTACTGCTATGTTGAACATGCAAGCCTTGGGACTCTCAAGACTGCAAGAATTTTCCTGAGGAGTGAAGATGGGCTGGAGATGACTCACGTGAAAAAGATTCATGTGATCCCGTTATAAAAAGAATAAAGATTTAAAAAACAAAACAAAACAAAACAAACAATCAAAAACCAGAAACACTGCCCTCCCTGGAATAAGTGCTGTATTGGTCCCTAATAAACCTAACTTGCCTGACCTCACTCATACGTTCAAACAGCACCTATTGTGAGACAGGAAAATAAATATCAATAAGAGCATTTTTATAATTCACATCGAAGAAATAGCAGCCAATTAGCCACTATAAAGGTAAAGGTCACAATGTCCAATGTGAGGAATTAAAATGAATTAAAACTAGCCAAGGGAGGCAGGGGAAGGTAAATAACTAAAAAGCAACTGCACTGTCATACTTATAGTAGCACCTGCCATTAGATGGATGGGAACATGTGTGAGTAGGTGGCATGCCACCATATACACAGTAGTGACTCTGTGAAGATCTAGTGAGAAATAATGGAAAGAACTTTGGAGTTGGGCCAATCTGCCTTGCCCATTTTATTAGCTGGATGACTTAGAACAACTTTCATTGTCTCATCTATAAGATGGACTGACTACTACTTTATGCCACATAGGACTCTGGGATGTAGCAAAGTTCCCAGCACAGAGCAAGTGTTTCATACACATCGGGCCCCTCCCCTTTCCAGTAAGGAGCCCACATTGAGCACGGTTGTTCCCAGGAAGCCAACAGCCTGCCGTCAAAGAGATGCAAATTTTCACTGTCTAAAATGTGCAGCTGCTGAACAAGACTATGTACAGAGGAACCAGAACTTTAGGAACCTTAAAGAAGACCCAGACACAGGCGAACTGGGGGTCACGGCTGGTGTTTTTTCCAGCACTTTCCAGAAAGAGCACTGTGGACTGCCCAAGGATCAGTCTCAGAGCTAGTGGGTAAGGAGCATTTTCCATGGAACTCATCTTCACAGTCCTGTTTTACTAGATTGCAAAAATTATTTAGGAACAATTTTTCTTTTTTAAAAGAGATACTTAAGGACATCTGCCTCCTCCTATGATGGACCTAAATCCATACCTTGCATCCTTTACAAAGATTAATTAAAAATGGATTGTACACCTAAATGTAAAACCTAAAACTATACAACTTCTAGAAGAAAACATATGAGAAAATCATTGCAATCTTGAGTTAGGCAAAGATTTCTTAAATATAATACCAAAGGCATACTGCAAGAAAAATTGATAAATTGGATTTTGTTAAAATTTAAAGCTTCTACTACTTGAAAAATACTGTTAAGAGAATTTTAAAAACTCTGTAAAGCGCTCGCGCGCGCGCGCGCACACACACACACACACACACACACACACAGAATATGAAAAGTTTGGAAGATTTTGCAAAACACCCAAAAGAACTTGTATCCAGAATATATAAGGAACTCTCAAAACTGAATAAGAAGAAAACAACTCAGTGAGGGAAAAAGGGGCAAATATATAAACAAACATTTCACCAAAGGAGAGATTGGGATGGCAAATCATCACATAAAGAGATACTTAACATCAATTAGTCATAAGGGAAATTCAAATCAAAGCAACAATGAGATATCACTATATACCCATCGGAATGGCTATAGAAGGACAATACCAGTACTTGTCAATGTACAGAGCCACTGGGTCCTCCCTACCCTGCTGGTGGGAATGCAAATGGTGCAGCTACTTTAGCAAACAGTGTGACAGTTTCTTATGAAGTCAAACATACACTTACCATATGACCCAGCAATTCCACTCCCACGTATTTTCTCAAAAGAAATGAAATTAGTCCATTCAAAAACCTGTACCTAAATGTTTACAGCAGCTTGATTCTTAGTAGCCGAAAACAGGTACCAATCTAAATGCCAACTGGCAAAACCCATATATATAAAAGACTGTGACCGACCGTCCGTCCATCCAACCAACCAAACGGCCGGTACATATGATGCGCACTGGCAATTTAAAAATAAATGTTGACTCGCGCATGTGCGATACACATATAGCTCTCACTGGTGCCAATCATATGCGTGTGTTTTGATCTGTCATTGTCGATTGTGAATTTGGTTGTTTTTGTTGACATTCTGAAGCTGAAAGAAAGCGGGTGTTGTCGACAGAGTATGTCTGAAGACCAACTATTGGCATAACGTACCTCTGACACTTCATCTCTGACACTTCTATTATAGAGAAAGCTCAAATAGCGATATTAAAATATTTCTTCTAATTAATTTCCTTTCAATGTGCACGAATCCACACACCAGGCCATTAGTGGATAAATAAACAGTAATATGTCCATAAAGCAGAATACTATTCAGCAATAAGGAATAAACCACTAATACATACAACAACATGAATGAATCTCAAATGCATTATATTAAATGACTCAAAGGTTACCTATTGTCTGGTTCCATTTCTATGATATTCTGAAAAAGGCAAAATCACAGTGATAGAAAGCATATATCAGTGGTTGTCAGGATCTAGGCATGCAGGCAGGGATAACTACAAAGGGGCATGATAGACCTGGTCTATATCTCAATCATAGTGATTGTTAAATGAATGTACAGATTTGTCAAAACTAATCAAATTGTACATCTAAAAGTGATTACTTCTATCGTACATAAATTATATTTTTTAAAAACTGTCCTGTAAAAGATATTAGGAATGTTGTTTTAAAAAGACAACAAAAATATAATATAAAACATTATGCTGATAAAAAAATTATTTGGCCAATAGTTGTTTTTTTAATGGAGAAAAAACAGGATACTAACTTTCAGAGAATATGATGCCAATGATGTATAAAAATGACAAGTGGAGCCCGGCCAGAGGGGCTCAGTGGTTGAGTGTTGACCTATGAACCAGGAGGTCACAGTTTGATTCCTGGTCAGGGCACTTGCCCAGGTTGTGGGCTGGATCCCCAGTATGGGGCATGCAGGAGGCAGCCGATCAATGATTCTCTCTCTCATCATTGATGTTTCTATCTCTCTCTCCTTCTCTCTTCCTCTCTAAAATCAATAAAAATATATTTTTTAAAAAAAATGAGAGGTGGAGTAAAACACATTAACAGACTATCAAGTAACTTTCTATTTTTCTACACTTTACAGATTTTCATAGTAAGCACATTATTTTTATTAACTAAAACAGCAAAAGAGATTAAAAAGTGGTCAACACAATAGGTGACTGTTTCTGCCTATTTATCTTTCAACTAACCAGAGTGGAGAGGAAGGAACTCCGAGAGGTAAGACATCTCTGACCTGAGGTGAATCCAAAACAATCTAAAAGCTACATGGTACACTGGAAATATGCCGAGGTGTCTACAGAGCGGGATTCTGTATTTGGGAAGATCCTCTGGGGTGCCATAGAAAGTTATTAACTCCTTAGGAAATGCTCCCCAGGGTGGTTTCCCACACCCAGCAGGCGAAGCTCCCCCTGGATGGTTTGTGGGGGTACCCAAGGGTTGCCAGGAGGAACGGGGAGGGCACAAAAATGCACTGAGCAAACTGCCCCACAGTCCAGAGCAGCACACATCTCACTTCCCACACTTAGGCTGGAAACCACACTTTGAGTAATTAAAAAGCTCCTGGGGAGGTCACTGGACTTTCCCAGCCTGGTCACTCAGGTGACCAACAGCAGCAACTGCAGATCTCATTTCTGACTCTAAGGAGACCTGTAATAGTATGAGGAGATTGCTGCTCTATGAAGATTCTAAATTTTTATATTCCGACCCTATGGCTTTGAGCTTGAAAAGTTCAGCAGACTAGTCAAGACTCCAGTGAAACTCACGGTTCTTGGCAAAAAGTCAAAGGTGTAATGTGTTGTTTTAAATGCAAGGGGGAAGAGAGACTTGGAGCGATGTCTCTACCATGCCAGAACAGTCAATACGAACGGTCCATGTCTCTGGCATTCTTCCGTGACCACTGCCTAACAGGGTGCTTACGGAACCTCGGGCCCTGGACTGCCCATCAGTATTCTGAGTAGCCAGTCTGCTCAGTGTCAGGCAACTACTGTCAGCCTACAGGCGAGGCTGGGGTTTCTCCAGGCCCTGGAGACACTCTTCACTTAGCCATCCAGAACAAGTGTGCTACGGAAGCCCATCCATTAAACACTGCCTGGGACCATTTCCCAAAGACAGTTTATTCCAGCATAAATGGCACACAGGATTGTTTTCCTTTGTGTACCTTGAACTCTGCAGAGGAAAAGTAGACAGCACAATCAATCTACACTAATCATAATAAATATAAAAGAAGGGAGCTTACATTATATATTTGCTTCCTGAAAATAGGATAGAAACAGCAAAACCTAAGAGAAAAATGTTTACCAAGTACATAATATGTGCATAAAATAGAAGCTCCAAAGGGGAGTGGTCATTGGATTTTATCACGACCTCATCATCTGAAAGTCCAGGTTGGTAATTGTTTCTGATCCAGAACAACTGCCAGAAATCCTCATGTTTGTACATAAAGAACCCTCTGCTTCCTCTGGTGCAATGTGTGAGCTCTGGATCAAACAGTCCCGTCCCCGTCCCCGTCCCCCCCCCCACCCCCCCTCCGTTATATTTGACTTGGCCAGTTGATAACTCTCTGAGCCTTGGTTTCCTATAGAAATTGAATATGTAACTGATAGGGTTTTTCTAAGGGCTAAACAAGGTAACAAAGGACGTTCCTAGTACAATGTCTGGTATATTATTTAAACTTAAATGGGTCATTTTGTTATCTAGAAAGGGTTCTAATACTTAACTCTTCGTGTACTTTAGATATTACTATGTATAACTAAGGAAAATGGCACTGTTTTGTGTGGGGTTTATCGAGCATCCTTTGTCCCAGGATTGCCACAATACACAACATTCTATGGTCTTACTTTCTGCTACGTTCTCCTTGGAAAAGAGAAAATTCCCTACAAATGAAGCAATGTTTTATGTTTTCATGCCCTCACTGAGAGTGCTGGGCACCCAACACATCTTTGCGAATCCCCTGAGCACCTGCCAAGATGCTCTCTCCACAACAGCAGAGCTCAGACTTGATGCCTTAACCTGTCTCTGAGACAGACTTTCCCACACTCCAAACACTCCAGCACGGTTCCCGCCAACACCCAACCAGGCCCTCACAACTCTGGAACATGAGAGCTGGAGCCAGACCCTTCACAGGGCTGAGCCTGGTCCTCTCACTACTGCAGGACCTTATTAAAGTCACCAAGCAATAAAGTTGGTTGATTCCACAGATTCCGCACCTAATCGCTTGACCTGCATCCTGCCAATACGACCAGGACCAAACGCTACAACAAACCAACGGAAAAGAATCCATTAAACTTTTGTCCTGCCACTGCTAGGTCCAACTTGGTGAGCGGTGCTCCAAAAGAAAGCTAAATTCTCCAAGTTCTGTGGTTCAATTCAAAGTAGTCAAGATGTTTCTCTCTCTGACAATGAAGTACAAAATCTATCGCGTGTTTTTGTTTTTTTTTTAGCTCATATCTTGTAGCAGTTACAGTTTTACTGTCAATGGGAGAGGGGAAAAACTATTTAAATGATGGTATTATAAATTCAAAACCCCAAATAACTCATAGAAAGCTTTCATTTAAAACAAAATTTATAAAAGGAGCTAATCTATTAATGCAGTCTATTATTAGGTATTTTGATTTTAATATCTTTAAGATTATGCTGAGATAGAAAAAAAAAACCTGAAATCTTGCCCCTGAGAAGTAACAGTTAAGCTGAAAAATTCAAAAGAGAACAAGTTATGAAGGAAAGGAATACAAGAAGGGAGCCCTCCTGTCCCTCCCCCGCCAACCCCCACCCCCGCATCATGCTCAGAGTGATCACTAAAAGTCGTGCTAACATTTAATATTTAACATGTGTTGAGCAGATATAAATCAGCAGCAGTAACAAGGTATCACAGATGAAGATGAAGTATGTTACAGATTAAGAACTTCTCAAAAACTTATTTTAAGGAAAGAATGGGAGGCAAGTAAAGGGAGACACCCCAATTCAAGGAGATAGCTCAAATATACACTCCAGGCTTCCAATCAGAGTTTAAAGTTTTCAGTTAAGTTAGGCATCAGCATATTGTAAAAAAGCTTATGTGACATTTTGTCACTTCTTTGATTTCATTAATACTGAGATGCAGAAAACTTCCTACGGTTAGTTTGACCACATGCGAACAAAGGAAGGAACTGAAACACGAGTTCCAAGCTTGGGTATGAATCACCTTCCACTGCTTTACTACCTTCCTTCAGTTTGGTTGTTGGGCCTGCTGACCAGGGAGACTGTCATGATGTAAGAGATAAGGAACAGGGAATAATGGCATCGAGGTAGCTGGGCCTTCTTCCCCGAACAGATAACACATAACTGTGCTTACAAACACCGGCTTTGTTATAGGACAGAATTAATTGCTCCATGACCCTGGGCAAGTCAGTAATCCTTTAGGCTTCTGTTTTCTTAACTGTAAACGGGCCCATGATGACTACCTCAGATAATTACATGAAAGAATTTCTGTTAAGCATTAGGTGTCGTGCTGGATCCTTGGCAAACACTCAGTGAGCAACAGCTATTATGGCCGGATCTGACAAGCAAGCCCCTTCCTCCCACACTCTAGCCCTGTAGGGTCTGGGCCATGAAGGGCTGAGTTAGGTCATGGCATGTCTGAATGACAGAGAAGATGTTTCGGCTTCAGGTGGGCTGGGGCTCACCTTCTGGGTCTGCTTCTTACTAGCAGCTACATGGACCTGCATATGTTTCTGATGGCAATTCCCTACGTCTGGGCTATTGTGAGGATGAAATTAAATAAGGAAAGAGAAAAACTCCTACTACAGCATCTAGCACATAGTAAGCTCTCAACATGTGCTAATTTCCTGTTTCCTTTGCTCCTTATATAATTCTGCTTCGGAGAGAAATCCAGGTTGCCTGGGTTTTCGTGGGAACAGTGAAAACTCTGTTACCAAAAATAATACGTGTAGGAGTAGGCCTCTGTGCAAAGTTAAATGTACATTTAAAATATGGAGGCTACTTTAAGCACATCAGCAAAACCTCTAACCCATGGAGGAGAGAGAAGATACCAAAATGGACTAACCGTCTTTAACATGCTCTATCTAGAGCCAGAGCTTTTTTTTTTCTATTTTTTTCAGAGCCAGGGCTTTTAAGGGATTCCTCAAATTAAATTAAATTGGTCCTAAAAACATGTGGTCCCTTGCACCAACTGAGCCCTGCTGTAGTCTCTCCCACAGAACACAAGTTTCCAGCGCGCTGAAGAGCACACAACTCCAGAACCTCAGAAAGAGCCAATACAAACCCGCTGGAGAAAGGTCCTTCTTCATTTTTTTAAATTTCTTCGTCTTTTTCCTTCCCTCGGTGGGGGGTTCAGCACAGGAATCTGTCTGCTCAAACTCAAGGTCAGAAGTCTCTCTTGCCTCCGAGCCAGCTTCTGCTTGACTGAGGCTCAGCTTTCTCTTTCTTCCTGTGCTGGTAGCTGTAGGACTGAAATGCAGACAGTGGAACAACATGAAATATGTTAAGAATAACAGGAAGACTAGCCTATAAAAATATTTTAATACTCTTAATCCTATGAATACTTAACTAGCAATCAACAACATGGGCAGCTGCTGCCTATGTGTAAGTTAAGACCTTATGAACTGAAGCCTAAAGGTTTACCCATGAGAAGCTTATTCCGAAGCAAGTTCTACATTATGCTTGGATGGAGATATATACAAATCTAAGCTGTTCTAAGTGCTTAAAGAACACATTTTTTAAAAGAAAACCCCTGGTCTCTGTTTTAGTAGAACTACTATAAAATAATAGTCTTGATTACATTTAATCAGAAGCTAGCATTGTTACCTTCAGGACTACTTAATGGATACACAGCAGAACAGAAGCAATCGTGAGTCAGTTATCACACTGTGCATGCATTTGAATACACTTACAGGGCATACCCCACCTTCCTATAATTCTCTCCTATTCCTAAAAGGTGCCAAATTTATAATTAAACCTGGCTTCACTTTTAAAGCTTCATAGGATCTGACATGTTGAATTACATCGGATTATATGTCCCAATTTTTCCTTAAGAAAATATGTTTCCTGAAATATAACTTGATAAAAACAGAGACCACATGGCCAGTGTGAGTCCTGTCTCTTCTAAGTGGGTCTTATAAATAGATTTTTTATTATAGCCCCCAAGTTTTGAAAAGCATATAAAATCAAGTCATTCCACTTGGAACATTCTCCTACTTAAGTCTTCCCTAGGAAGTGAATACTTCACAATGTTATGCTTGAAAAACCTTTGGCTACCCAATTATGTAGTATTCTGGTCAGGACTGTATAACCTGAATATAATCATAAAGAAATAGCACATAAACCCAAATAAAAAATATTTTGTTGAAAAAAAGTGTCTGGGGCGGGGGGAAGGGGTGTTCTTTAAAAAAGTCATAAAAAAGACTAAAGAGACAGGAAAGCTAGATGGAGCATATATAGACTGGAGCTTAGATTGGATCATAGGCTGAATCTTATACTGAAGGAGAAAAAGCTATAAAGATAACATGGGATCAAATAAAAAAATTGAACAGTAGGTTAAATATTAGATCAATGTTGAATAACCAAGGTTGGTAACTGTACTATAGTAATGTCAGAGAATATCCTTATTTAGAGTATTTGGGTATTAAGGACCACTATATATCTAACTTCCTCTCAAATGGTTCAGAAAAAAAAATAGTATTGTTGGTGGTAGTGAGTGGGTGGGGGTTGTTGGGAAGGTGAAGAGAGAGAGAATGCAATACAGAGTGTGTGTGTACAGTAAGCCAGTACGCCCTCACTTAATGACATCAATAGGTTCTGTGACTCTGAAGCAAACCGATGTAAAATAAAACCAATTACCATGGACTAATTGATATAAACAGAAGTTAATTTCCAATGGCATCTAATCAACATTATAGTGAAACAACACTGAATGAAATGATGAGGACCTGCTATATAGATAGAGAGAGGAAGGGGAAAGGGAGGAAGAGAAAGCATGTGTACACAAAGCAAAAAAATAAACGGAGCAATATGTTAACAATAGATGAACCGTTATAGAGTGTGTGTGTGTGTGTGTGTGTGTGTGTGTGTGTGTGTATACTGTATATGATCTTTGATTTATTGTTAGATAGAACAAGGGTCTCAAGATCTAGACAGTTCTAAATGTTATTCTTGCTAAATGTTAAAATGTAGCACAGTATTTTGCAGATCAGCTGTAAACTGGATGAGCTTGACTGGAACTCAACCAGGTAAGTGTAGCCAAGTACAAAGAGAAATCAATGTGTAACAGACCAAACAATATTTACAAACAATGGCTAAGCCTCCCTTCAAAGAGACAGAGCTTTGAGTATGAATCCTCTTTCTTCTTTACTTGCTGCAAGTAAATAAAATTACTTTGCAACAACCACCTCTCAGTCTTTAATAGAACACCCCAAGCGGCAAACCACTTGAGTTTGGTAACAGTATTTGTGTCACTTTTTTAACCCTTTTCGGTCCAACGTGGAGGCTGACTCGACAGACCAGGCGCTCGGAGCAGGTCCAAGGTTGAGCTGAGGTCTAGTGAGACAGATAACTTCAACATTCAATCCTGTCAATTAATTTGGACCAGACTGTTTGAATTCCAAAAATAAAATTGGACCGCAAAGGATTCTAAAGTTTGAAATTATTTTTAAATTAATAGTAAAAAAAAAAGGGAGACGGAAGATGGCGGCGGTATAGGCAGACTCGTCCCAGGTCGTGTCCCGGAGCAAATGGAGTGAGCAGCTGAAACTAGTAACATCCACCCCGAATTGGCGAAATTGCTCAGCTGGTGAGACGGTTTGCAGCCGGGAAGAGCAGAACTCCCCTGGAAAGGTAAAAAAACCAGGGATTTGGGCAGGAAAGGTTCCCAGACCTCTGAGCCCAGAGAGTCAGAGGGAGACCGCGTGGCAGACAGCCGCGTCCCTTGGGACAGGCACAGCCCCTAACAGGGGAAAGGAGAACCGCGGGATTCCTGGCGCCGCCGGGAGAATTGCGAGCTGGGTTCTGTGATCACGGAGGACTGAGCCTAAAGGGGGCAGCCTGAAGAGCTGACCAGACCATGCAGTCCCTGTAAGAGAAGAAGCTTACAGAAACCAAGCCTTCCCCGTTTCCGCGGCCGGCGTTTGTTTGTTTGTTTTCACTGAATCCTGTTCATGGGACATTTCGGATACAGACACTCACCTGTGCTGAAGAGAGGAAGAGGGTGCGGAGGAGTGGAATCTGGGGAGAGTCTGAGGAGAGAAGGGGGGCCGGGAGAGGTGGCAATGAATTGAGTGCTGAGACACCCCTGAGCCCAGGTCTAGGGCAGCCATTCTCTCCGGAGAGTGAGACTCCTCCCCCCAGCCCCCAGGCAAGGAGCACAGCCACACCCAGATTCCACTCTGTAGGAGATCAAGGATTAAAATAACCTGATCAGTCCCTGGGAGTTAACAGGGTCTGGCCTATAGAGGGATTTTCAATCCCAGCAACAACACAGCACTGGTAACTATTACGCAGCCAGCTCTGGGCAGTGAACTCCCACTGGACAGAGAGGCCCTATAGCCTCAGAGGCCAACCCCAGAGCACTGCCACCCAGAGGCTGACCCACAAACTGACTCTTTGCTAAACACAAAATAAGGCAGTCTGGGAAACAAATGCGGCTTGCTTTAAAATAAGGACTGTGGTTTACAACACAGAGGAACAGTGTATCGCAGGGAAACTCAACACCCTCCTGAATACCTGGCAGGTCTAAGGCGAGCCACACTGAAGAATAGAAGAACCGAAGGACCTTCACTACTGCAATATTTTTTTTTCTTTTTTCACCTTTTAACTAAGAAACCATTTTTTTTTATTTTCTTCTTTTTTTTTTCTCTTCTTTTTTCCATCACCTGATTTTACCCTTTTAATTACTACCTTCTTATTTTTAACCAGTATTATTATTGCTACCATTTTACCATTTTTTTTTAAAGTGCCATTTTATTTTCTCTTTATTTTATTTTGGGATTAGTGTTCTCCATTCTATTTTCATCGTTATATTATTGGTTGTTTCTAGTTTGCATTCATCTCCAGGGAGCTGTTGCTGGAATTTGTTAGGATTAATGGCTGTTCTATAGGAGTATTCTCCTCATATAAAAAAGTCTCTTCCCCTCTTCCACTTCATTCTCTCTTTTCGCTCTTTTTTTTTCTTTTCTTTTCTTATCTCGCTTTTATTTTCCCCCCTCCTTTTTCCCAATTTCATTTTTGCACTCCTTTTTTTGGTCCCTAATTTTCTTTTCTTTTTTCTCTTTTCTCTTTTTCTCTTCCTTCTTCCTTATCCCCTAATTCTCTTAATTCAGGTGGTCACCTTTATTTGGGGTTATTAATATCGTGAATATATTTGTGTATAGTGCCTGGTACGTGGTGCCTTGTTGTGTTGTATTTTGTGCCTTTAAAACAACGCAGCAGATCCAAGCAACAGCAACCTCCTGAGCACCACACCCTCTGCTGAGGAACAGCAGCTGTACGTGAAACCTTGCCCCACCAGCCAGAAGAGCCACCACAGCTGTGAACAGCACCCACCAGAGGAGCTGCTGCCAACTGAAGAGCAGCTGCTACCGCAACCGCCCGAAGAGCAACCACAGAGTCACAACCAAGGAGTCACTGCCACCAAGGGAGCAGCCACTGAACGACTCAACGTCTAGATATGTCAGCGAGATCAAACATGGGTAGACAAAGAAACCCCCAAAGGAAAGAGAAGGAGGACTCTCCAGAAAAGCAGCTAAGTAATACAGAGGCATGCAACATGACAGAAAAAGAATTCAGAATAAGGGTCCTAGAGTGCATAAACCGGATGGAGGAAAAAATCGACAACCTCTGCAAGAAGCAAGACGAAACAGATGAAAAAATCGATAACATATGGAAGAAGCTAGAAGAAACAGATGAAAAAATAAACAACTTAAGTAAGACCCAAGAAGAAATGAAGAGTGATATAGCTGCAATGAAAAACTCCATTGAAAGTATCAACAGTAGACTGGGTGAAGCAGAGGACCGAATTAGTGAATTAGAAGACAAGGAAGCAAAACACACCCAAAACGTACTGCAATTGGAGAAAAAAATGAAAAGACAGGAGGAGAGCCTAAGGGAGCTTTGGGACAACATGAAACGAAACAACATACGAATAATAGGGGTACCAGATCAACAGAAGGATGAACAAGGATTAGAAAACCTATTAGAAGAAATAATATCAGAAAACTTCCCTGAGGTGGGGAAGAAAAAAGTCACACAAGCCCAGAGAGTCCCAAACAAGGTGAACCCAAAAAGACCCACACCAAGACACATCATAATTACCATGGCAAATGTTCAGGACAAAGAGAGAATCTTACAGGCTGCAAGAGAGAGACGGAAAGTTACATACAAGGGATCTCCCATTAGATTGTCAAATGATTTCTCAACAGAAACACATCAGGCCAGAAAAGAATGGACGGAAATTTACA